ATTCTATATTAATAGAATATTAAATTTAATAATTAATTTTTAAAAATATTTATTAAAAATAATAATTTTAAACTTAGGGTTCCAACTTTTTGGCTAAAACCTACTTTTAGCCTTTTACCTTAATAAATTTGTATGTTTTAATCTATTATTTTATATTATAACACTTTTATCCCTCACCTATATGAATTAAAAAAAATAGCCATCACGTATACGAATTGAAAAAAAATAACCCTCACTTAATGTCAAATTATGCTGTTCTGTTAATTTTGTTAACTAATTGTTAACATCTATTAGCATTCCATTATAGAAAACATGAAATTTAAATTTAATTTTATTTGTTAGTTCCGTTAATGGAACGTTAATGGAACGCTAATAATCAACTAACATAATTAACAGAATATTATAATCTGACTTTAAATTATGATTATTTTTTTCAATTTGTATAGATGAGAAATTAAATATGCCATAATAAAAGGTGAGGGACTAAACCTACAAATTTATTAAGATAAAAGGTTAAAAATAAATTTTTACACCAACTTTTATATGCAAATGGAGACTAATACACACTTTATATATATATATTTATATATATCTAATATTTAACTTTTTTTTTAAATATAGGTAAAACATTTATTCAAAGAGGTGCGGTACACACAAAGATTAAGAGACCCATATCCCCCTACTCACCCAAATATTGCTTGGATATATGGATTGGGTATTGGTACAACGTACAAAGTACAAAGTACAAACCCAAAACTCTTTTTGCATGAAATATCTATCAAAAGCCCAGCAGCGGTTGAGTGATCCAAGGAGGTTAAATGTTAATATTGTGTCTCTGACCATTTTATTTTGAACACTTTTGATCCCTGAACTATTCTTAGCATTTTTTTAGTCCCTCAACGGTTAAGCAAGAGTGCTGAAAATAGTTTGGGATCAAAAGTGTTGACAATGAAAAGTTCAGAGACTTCAATTAGCATTTAACCGAACCAATAATAGCAAGGTAATCGGGTAAAAAAAAACCCGATCCCTTTCATCGTGGATAACTAACCGGAGCTCCCACTTCCACTCCCCTCCTTCCGCTCGTTCCGCCTCTATCAGACATCACTGTAGAGTTCCGGATAGAATGAGCATCGTGCCGAAGGAGACAATCGAGGTGATAGCGCAGAGCGTTGGGATTACCAATTTGTCTGCTGATGCTGCTCTAGCTCTTGCCCCCGATGTCGAATACCGCATGCGTGAGATCATGCAGGTATGCTGCGACCTTGTTCTGCCATTTTTGTTTTTCATTCTAAATGGTTGTATGTTGTTGCTACTCTGAAATTGTAGCGGTTTGAGGTATTTTAGAGGATTTGTTTTTTCTAGGTTATGTTCAATTTTCCAATATATATTTAGAGTTTATAGTTTAGCCATGATTGCCCTTTCTTTTGAAGGTTTCTGATGAATGATACTTAAAGGTTTAGGTTAGTGGTTTTGGCCCCTGCAAAGATGGTTTTAGGTGACATAGAGAGTGCTGGCTAAATTCCTTCTCCATATGTAGAAAATGGGAAAGACCCAAAAGGTTTCGTTATCTTTTTGTCAAAGAACTTTGCCTTTTGATATTTAGGTCCAAGGTGTATATAATTGGTAGAAATTTAATGAGAAATAGAGGCATGTTTGAACCAATCCCATGTTATAGGCTCTGAGGTTTGAATCTACATTCTTGGTTGTGGTGAAATATGGGTTAGCTACTACAAAGATTGAGTAATAGGAAATGGAATACAGGTGCAGAACCCTAAATCATGAAGCTTGTTCAGAAAAAGAATGTGCTAAAAGTTGTAAACATGAAAGAGCTATGGATTCTTCTGAAAGTTTATCAGATACCCATTATCTCCCAAAATGATTGATGAGAAATCCATTATGATTTTTAATACCAAGCAACTAAAATTCCTACATTATTAGAGAAACATGGAGTTTATCCCTGAAGCCTGGCCCATTACGGGTCAGCCTTAATATTAAAATACCCTCCTACTCTAATATAAAGAAAAAATAAACTGAAAGTATAGGTCTCAAAAATGATTTCAAATCTTCTATGTCCATACTTCTAATATATATATTTTTGATGTGTTCTTCACTCCTAATATTGTTATTGCATCCTTTCCACCATGGGCTTATATGATCCTATTTTTTTTTTTTCTTTTTTGGTGTGCTTGTTAATTTTCAGACCTTGTTGATGAAAATGTAATGCAATTTCTTTCATGACCTCCAGGAGGCAATCAAATGCATGCGTCACTCAAGGAGAACTATATTGACTCGAGAGGATGTTGATGGTGCACTTAGCTTAAGAAATGTCGAGGTAAGTAATGCAACTAATAAGTTGCTAATTATCATCTTGTATTTTCGATGCTTATGTCAGTGTGTTTAACAATGGGACTTAGTTTTAAGGATGCATGTAAATAGTTGCATTCAGCTTCTGTTAGCATTAGTGAGGGGCCCAAAGGAGTGCTTAATTTTTTATGCTCTTCTCATCAAATTGATGGTTAACATGATTACAGGTGCTTCATATTAAATATTGTTTTTGGAAGGATAATTGAACTAATTTACTAGCATATTTTGTTTGGTTTTATTTACTTCAGGCTCTAATTGAACATTATTGATTGCACCCTCTTATCATATTACTATTGGAAAACATTTGTAAAAAGAGCCAAAAACCAAAAACTGTCATTTCCTTTTCCCATTCAAATACAATCAGCAAGATGTGTTGGCAAGTCCTAGGTAGGAAAATGACTGGTTGCAAACTGGAGTTTAATTTTTTTTTAGTCTAATTCGTTAGGAAGAAAAGACAATGTAACTACAAATGGCACTCAGCTTTCACTCTTGCAGTAGCTAATGTCTTTTATTGGATTCGAATGATTAGTTTGTTATACAATTATGAATGAAGATAACTACTTCCAATGCACTTCAAAGGTTATTTTTTTTAAAAGCAAAAAATTCTTGGACGGTTGATTGTTAATTTTTCTTACTCTTTACTTCTTAGCTCAGCCAGTATATGGTTTCGCATCAGGAGGTCCTTTGCAGTTCAAAAGAGCTCTGGGGCATAGAGATTTGTTTTATGTTGATGACAGGGATGTGGATATTAGAGATGTAAGAAGTTGCATGCTACACTTGTTGTATTTGCATCTAAAATGGGTGGAGCACTTGTTAAAGGTTTGATATTTTTGCTTAACATGTAGATTATTGAAGCTCCTCTACCAAAAGCACCTCTTGACTCTGCAGTTGTATGTCACTGGCTAGCAATTGAAGGTGTACAGCCTGCTATTCCAGAAAATGCTCCAGTAGGAGGTCAGTCTCTTAGTTTAGGGGCATTAGCAACAATTTTTTTTTAAAAAAAAAAAAAAAATTCCTGATAGCATGTCTGAATTTTTTTCAGTGTAGATTGAAAATAATCTTTATCTATTCTCCAAATTGAGCTTGAACTTATATTTTCAGCCAAAAAAGGAAAAAAACTTGAACTTATATCCATCATGGCTAATCATTTTCTTTTTCTTTTTTCTTTTCTTTTTTCACATCTTTAGATTCTTATTTATCACAAAATGGGCGTCTGTAAGGATGGCTGTACTGTTCAATATTCTGACAATTTTCTGTTGAATATGTATCTCCGACAATTCTTTCTTAGAAATTTTCTTGAGATCAAGGGAAAATGAATATTAGATAGCATTCAGTTTTCTTGCTTTATGGTTTGTATTAGCATTACCTTGGAGCTAATCTTTTATCATTAGTTATTGCAGCTCCTTCCAATGGCAAGGATTATGAACAAAAAGGTGGACATTCAGTTGACATTAAATTACCTGTGAAGCATGTTTTATCAAGGGAGCTTCAGGTAAACAGCTTACTATAACATTTTATAGCATATTCTTTTTAATATTTATACAAGCAATGTGGATTTTATCTTTTCCTTTGCAGCTCTACTTTGATAAAATCACAGAGCTCACTGTGAGTAAGTCTGATTCAGTTCTGTTCAAAGAAGCCTTAGTGAGTTTGGCTACAGACTCTGGACTTCATCCATTAGTTCCTTATTTTACATGCTTTGTAGCTGATGAGGTAATACATTTGACACAATGTTACATTACAACAATTCAGGGAAGCATGTAGTTATTTGTTACTCATTTTTGCTTGTTCCCATCCTAAATACTGTCAGGTTTCTCGTGGTTTAAATGATTACTCTCTTCTTTTTGCTTTGATGCGTGTTGTTTGGAGTCTACTTCAGAATTCTCATATCAACATGGAACCTTATGTAAGTTAATATTTAGGTAGCCCTGTAATTACATTTTGGACCTTGAAAAGATGGCACGTGTAACTATATATATTGTAGTCACATTCATTTAGATGACATTTGCTGCTATAGATCTGAATTTTTTCCTGATTTTTGCATGCTAGAAATTTGGAACCTAGTAATTTGCTTAAAAGGGCCCCTCTTTTCTTCAGTTCATTAACTTTATATTGATGTGAAGAGAATGGTAGTTTTGGTGGTTGATGGGAATCCTTTGACCCTTTCAAACAACCCATCATCAAAAACTAACTTGCAGTCTATGTAAACGTTTTAGCTACTAGCTACCACTTGTCAACTTGTTTGTTACTAGTTAGTTAGGTCCACTTATATAACAAGTTGCATTAGATATTCTTGGATAGCACATTGCCTCATTCATAAAATAAGATGAGGACTATCATTATAAAATATGTCACCTCAAGTACCATCCTGTATTGTGTGCCAACCAGCGAATATAAGGTGTTTCTAAGTGTGAGAAAAAAAAAAAAATTGTGAAACAAAAAGATGGGTTTTACTAGTTTTACTTAGCACCACTTAGAGTAGGCTAGCCAATTTTGACTGAAATTTTGACAATGTTGAGATGCTAAGGAGCATGGTTAGGTTTGACAGTACATTGTCATATGCAGTGCTTGCAAAAGACCGGCCTGTCACACTACTAGATGCCTTATAGGGGGGTTATAAATTCACCAATGCTTGTTTGGTTCAACGTAATGAATTCCTCTTTTGAGACAAGAGTTCACCAACTTGAGCTGATCTTTTAGTCTCTTTTTTTTATTTTTTATTTTTATTTCAGCTACACCAATTGATGCCATCCGTGGCGACCTGCCTTGTTTCCAGAAAGTTAGGGAATAAGGCTGCAGAAAACCATTGGGAACTTAGAGATTTTACTGCAAAGTTGGTTGCTTCAATGTGCAAAAAGTGAGATTTACGTTTAATTTTCTTTTTTCTTTTTTCTTTTTCAGTTTTCCATGTAAAGAAAATAAATTAAGTTAGACTTGTTATCTATCTACCTTGTTCTCTTCTCATTGGCATGGTTCCTTTAAGCCTCTTTCATAAGGAATATATGATTGCACTAATTTCTTAGATGTATAAAGTGATTTAAAACACAGTGCACCAGCATGCATTTTTTATTGAAGGATAAGAAAATTTGAATTTAGTGTCTTGATCTGTCAACCTGATTGACAAATTTCTAGATCAGAATTTAGAAACCAAGTGTTATGTCCCCTTTCTTCTCATTTTCCAATTTTTAATTCTCCTTTTCATCTCTCATCTTCTGGTGCAGTTAGTAATTTTTCTATTTCAAGTTAACAACTCAATATGATCTGCTTGTGGAATTCATTTTCTTGGTGGAGATTTTCTGCACCACTTCTGATTTTGAATACTGTTAAGAGGAAGTTAGATGTTTACTAACCTCGTTTAGATGAATTGGACAAATCCTAGTTCAGTTGGATGACCTTTCTATCTGCTCTGGTATATATAGTTTTAGAGTTGTCCTTCCTGATAGAAGACAGATGTCTTTTCTTTTTAGGCCTATATAGGTAGATGCCTTTTCTCTTGATCCATCTTATATAACTGAAGTGTCAAAAACTCCTGCAGATTTGGCCACGTTTATAACACTCTTCAGACACGTCTTACTAGAACTTTGCTCAATGCACTTTTGGACCCAAAACGTACATTGACTCAGCACTATGGTGCAATTCAAGGGTTGGCAGCCCTAGGGCCTAAAGTGGTATATTTCTCCTCCATGCTTTCTCTTTAATTGAAAAGGTTTACATGCTGTTTATAGTTTATAACTGTTGACTATTTTTAGTTTTATATTCTACATTATGTCATTTTCACTCAACTTTTTTTTTTTTTTTTATCAGAAAAAGATAGTATTATTAAGTTGGAGTACAAGGGGTACTCCTACCCATACAAAAAGAGTAAATTATAAAGTTAGGGTGATACAATCAACACTTTCATACAAAAGTTTACCCCAAAATCTACATTATGTCATTTTCACTCAACTTAATAAGTACTCCTTTCTATTTCATCATCAAAATTTAGTTTAAAACTAGTGTGATAGAAAAGAAATCTGGATTCTTTAAATTTGGAGATAGAAAGACAATTCTGATGTTTATGTTTTCCTTGTGAAGTTAGGTTCTGCTTTTTACGCATTCTTTTAGATTTCTTCTTTTTTTCAAATCCTTCTATGGTAGACTTTTGGGATTTTGTTTGGCTACTTATCTTATTGTCAAATTATTTATTGTAATATCTCTTATTTCAAAGCAGGTTCACCTTCTTATTCTGCCAAATCTTGAGCCATATCTTCGACTCCTTGAACCAGAGATGCTACTCGAGACACAAAAGAATGCAACCAAGAGATATGAAGCCTGGCGGGTTTATGGAGCCTTGCTGGTGAGTGTTTTTCTTGTTCAATGCTTGTATGATGATAACCCTACAAATTTTGAGATGCATGTGTTTTCCAGCATGCAGCAGGCGAATGTATACATGATCGCCTAAAGATCTTCCCACCTTTTCCATCACTTCAAGCTCAGGCTGTCTGGAAGACAAATGCAAAAGTCATTACTACAGCTCCTAGTAAGATCTGCTTTGTTTTCTAATGTGCTTGATATGATCCTAATTTCTGATGATCAAGATTGGAGTGTAATTCTTTCTTCCATAAAACATTGTAGATAAACGCAAGGCAAGCAGGGAACCAATGGATATTGAACCACCTCTCAAGAGAACAGAAACTGATGTCCAAGCTTTAGCATCAACAAGCCCCTCGTCTCCTCACATGCAGGAGGGAACAGTAACTCCACCTCCATCAAGCGATTCTGGAGTGGGTCAATCATCATCTGATGGAAAGGTGATTGATGATGGAAGAGCAGGCAGCGGAGTCGGGAAACAGAAGGGAGACAGTCAAGCTTTGAAGACATCAGCAATCCTAAAACAAGTTTGGAAGGAGGACCTGAATTCTGGACAGCTCCTGGTACAACTGTTTGAACTATTTGGTGAAGGCATTCTCTCCTTCATTCCAGCTCCTGAGACGTCTTTATTTTTATGACCTTTGGACAATAATAGATTCATAGGAAGATTGGGTCGGATAGAAGACTCAACTTTTTCTCCTGAGTTTTGTAGTGATTATTGCCAGGGAAGTTTACAGATGATGAATGATTGTTCCATTGCGGTTATTGAATTTAATTTAGAGATTGGTTTGTTAAAATTAAGATTTCTTTATTGTATATGAATGTAAAACGTGGAAATTTCAATAAACGTACAACAAACTAGAAAATTTTTGCCTAGGCACTCAAAACAAATTCAAACTTTGGTGGACGCCCACTCAGTGGCTTTCTTCAGAAGGCTACCCTCTTCAAGCACCATTTGAACAGGCAGAAACCCTATTCCGTTGGCCATAGCCACCAGCATCTGCCTTGACTCCGCCTTGAACTCCTCCAAATCCACTGTCCCGTTGGAGTCATGATCGAACTGCACGAACAGGGAATCATAGACATGAGCCAGCTCTTCCGGATCTCTCTTCACGTCGATGCCAAAGTGAGTTTCCAAAACCCTCAGGCTCTGCAACTCCTTCAGCATCTCTGCATAAGAGAGGAGGCCATCATGATCTGTATCAAGGTGCGTGAAGTGGTTGCGTATGGAAACAGTGAAAGCTTCTTCATCAGCCACAAAGTCAAGAATCGTTGCCCCATCCAGAACTTCTACACTCATTCTGCTCTTGTGCGTCTAAGCTCTTCTAAAGTTTGGAATCTTAGATTGTTGAAAGAACAATTAGGTTGAGTCCTATATATATAGTTGAACAAAAATCAAAAAGAAAATCGATGGTAGCGTTTTCACACCCAGGATTGATGTTTTCTTTCGGCAGAACGGAATATAAAACTGCAATCTCATATTATATTATTCCAAATCAAAAGCATAAGTTCCCAGTTTCAGCCTTGGTATTACGCGTCTCAAGTATTCTTGATACCTTTAGTCAAAAACAATGAGACTCATAAATCTCATTTTCCCCACCGTTTTTGGCTTTTCGCTGCTTGTTGAACGGCCAACCTTTTTCGACTTGGTCAACACATTATTTCTCTACAGAGTTAAGTCGGTGATTTCCACGATTTGTTTTATCCATGAGATATCCAACATATGGCGGAACATATTGGGTATCATATTCTAACATTACGGACCTAAAAACCATGGTCGCAGAATGCACAAGGCGGTGATGGATGGTGGGCTATTGCCTAGCGCCTAGGCAGTCTTAGGCACCATCTTAAGTGCTGTTAAGCACTCTTTTTTATTTTTCTGCGAAAAATGCCGAAATATATAGAACAAAAAATCCAAGAAATTAAAAGAAATGCTTAACTCCACGGCCTAAGGCCTAGGCCTAGGCAAAGGCAAGGCGGTAGAGCACCACTTCGCACTTTGCACTTTAAGAGGCGCCTAAGCATTGCCCAGAGGAGCCTTTTGCAACACTGTAAAAACACAGTTGCTTAAATTTTCTAATCTATTTTGATTATACACTAAACTTTTTTTTTTCCAATTTTACAAAATACAACAATAGTTGATGCGGTCTAGAACAAAGCAAAAGAAACTGGAATTCAATAGAAAAACACTTAAATACATAACCTGTACAGTAGTTGGGGTCAAGATTTCCCCGCGTTGCTGGCTCCAAGTATCAGTTCTTTATGCTCAAGCACAGCTCACCTTTCGTTGCTCAGATAGAGGTGACTGAATCACCATCACTGCTTTCGCTGTTGCTAATGCTACTTACACTTCTCTTGCTCCTGCTCTCGCTTCCACTAGCACTCTCACTTTCACTACTCTCACTTGCACTGCTGCTGCTTGAGCTGGAAGTCTGCTGCTCTTTACCCTCTGCATTCACTCGAGCTCTAAGAGCTTCTGCTGCATTACGGCCATTGTGTGTTTCATCATCACTTATATCTACATCAGCATCCATTTGATGTGGTAAGTTAATATCAATACCAATACCAGTGTGGGACTCCTTTCCAATGGCATTCTCCTTACTCTCTGTTGCGAAACCATCATATTCATCACCATTGACGATATCCACCTCTTCCTCTGATTCACAACTCTTGGCATCTAGTGATGCAGCTGATGTATTAGGAATTGAAGGTAGGCACTCCACATCCTTCACATTATTAGGTTCTGCAATGGGCAGAAAAGAATGACTTCATGTTAATGAAAGAAAGAAGGCAAAAAAGTAAGTTAATTAAAACTGCGTCATTAAGTAACTTTATAACTAGAGTCTAAAAGTGCTCAGTCACCACACCTCCAACTAATGATAATTGTATTTGCTTAAACACGTCATACACCCAAGAATCCAATCAGGAGCTCTCCAATCAAGTTCTCCTTTCAACTGGATACTGGATACTTAACACTACAATTTCCTGTGTCTCAGATGACTGATTTAAGGGCCCCTTGGTACTAGATATCATTTTGCATGAAATTTTCTGTCTCTAGTTTCACACTAGAAATCACATCTTTCAACATTCCTTACATCACCTTCCTATGTTACTTATACAATCCATTCATAGCCGATCCCCTTCATGCCAAAAAGAAAAAAAAAAAAAAATTTCTCTTATGCTTTTGTGCTGCCAGCTGATGCTTGCATTTACGTACCTAACATTTGCCCTATAATTTTGGCTTCATAGGATGGTTATAGTTCACTTCTTCTCTGAGTTTCTTTCTTGCATTATTGTACGAGAAACTGTCTAAAATTTGCCATCAACCAAGGTCTCTTAAGAACAATACATAGTCCCATAAGGAGAAAGGTAGTTTGACATTCTTGGATTTGGAAAGAGATGTTCATCAATAGAGAACAATAAATTAGATAGAAAACAGAGAACAGGTTATCTGATGGGGCAAGTTTAAAATAAGCTTATCTATATTAAACAAAAGGCCAAAAGCACAGCTATTTTTGCTACTTGGTCAAGCTTATGACACAAAAGTGGATTTAACAATAGGTGTAGTAATCATGAGGACAATACATAATCTACCATAACTGATAACACTACATCAGCGATGAATCAATAATTAAATGAAAGGAATCTTACCAATGCTCTCTGAGTCACCAATATCAATCTGTTCCACCTGAAGATGAACAATGAATAGAAAGTAAGAAAAGTTAAAACCTTGACTGATTCCGGGTCTTAGGCTTCAAACCTCTGCAATAAGCAACAAACTTATTTGCTAGTCAAAAAGCAAGAAAAGTTAAAAAATAGTACGATTTCAAGCTTAAGACAATGTAACCTTAAGTTACATGTTCTTTTTCTATTATTATTGGACAAGAAAAGAAAAAGGAGAAAATTAAGAATATTGAACATTTTGAAGTAACAAGGTTTAATCAGAGAAATGGTGCAGATTTTATGGAATTCCTGCAGTGCAAGGATGGGCATTAATCAAAAAATAAATAATATAGAGTGATCACATAAAAAGTCATAATCTGACAAGAGTACGATCTAAATTCTGTTCTATTCTTACTTTCAAGATTGAATTGGAAATGATGCCAGTGCTGCAATGTTGAATTTTCACACCAGTAAACTAAAGTAAGAAAGATTATTCCATGAAAAATGTTACAGAATTGATTTACACTTTATTTTGCTATCTTATGGATCAATTTTTTTTTCATTAGAAAGAGAAGACACGGTGCTGAATACTGCAGGAATGGCATGCTGTAAAAGTATGAAAGTTGAGCAAATCAGAAGCAGCAACCTTAAAGTCAGGACTTGGGGATGCCATTCCAAAATTCAATTTCATCAACATTAATAGCAGTTTGGCTCACATACTCCTACTCTCAATTTTCAGATTCCAAGAGGGAATCAGCTTATTTGTGAATTGCTTTTTGAGAGCTGATGATATTGTTTTCTGAATTTATGCATAATTCTTCAAAACTTTTCTTTCCTTTGTCCTCTATCTTATGGCAAGTCCACTATAGAAAATCAGCTTTTATCGCCATTCTTAGAGGCTTTCAACTGAAACTTGAAAATCATTGAAACCTGATAAGGTGTTAACAGGTAAAAGGAAAGCTAGGAAAAGCCTCCAAAAATAAAACAATGATAAATCAACCAACACAGCTCATTTAGTTGAATAGAGCGGCACTTCAGGCTGCTTTAGGCTTTTGACAACACTGCTAGGGAATGGTGGGCCTTGAGCAGCTGTCTAGCATGCACGTATGCAGCCTAGGCGAAACTCTAGGCAACCTAGGTGTTTTTCTTTTTATTATTATTATTATTATTATTATTATTTTCAAAAATGTCCAAAACTAGAAACGAAGCTGTAAAAATGTTGACATTGGATCTAAAAATACATCTAAGTGTTTAAAAGTGTTATGAAAATGGTGTGGGCTGATACATTGGGCCTAAAAAATCTCCCACTGTTTAAAATTGCAGCAAAAAGTCCTAGGTGTCTAGCTATCTAGGCAAGGTGCCCAGCAACCGCCTAGGACCTATGCACACTTTTTGCAACAGTGGTTACAAATTTAAACTATTAATTGCAATTCCAAATTATAATTGCAATTCCAAATTATCATGCCATTTTTCTAAACAACTAAATAAACTTTTTCCATGCTTCCTGAGTTTAAAGGAATCAATTGTTGAATCGCTGTTGTTATTTTCAACGTGATACGGTGAAATATCAGAAACATTAACCTCAGACTCAGCTGGAAGTGCAATCAGATAAACATTCTCTCCAACACACTTCAAAACTTCAAATGCTTGAGCCTAACTACCCATTCCTTGAATAATTCCCTTAACGAAGATGCACTCAAAACAAGTCACCTTTGAACTCTACTAACATGCAGTGCTTATTAGCATGTCATGATCTTAATGCTTCTAATTTTGTTTGATAATCGAGACTGAAATCTAGTTATGTCGCTTTTTATCTCACTTTCTATTTCTTTTACATCTCCACCAACCCAATGACTGACTGGAAACAAATTTACTGGACCTCTCAGATACCGGCCATAAACTGCTTCAAAGATCACAACCAGCACTTTGGCTAGTTTTCTCATTTATGCAAATTCAAGCCAACCCAATAACAAGTCCCATGCATATTTCCACAGACAAACTCAAGATTTTCCCATCAACACCTTAGTTTGACTATCTATTTGTGGATGACAGGTTGTGCTAAATTGATGGCTAGTTTTTAGCTTCTGCCAAGATGTCCACCAAAAGTTGACTCATGCTCTTATGCTTCTGTTCTTCCAGACTTAAATAAAGTATGTGAACTTAGTAAGAGAATCAGCATGGTTCTTAATCAGGAGGGACAGTCAATTTCCTTATTATTTTTAGGCTAAATTCAATAAATAGTCTATTAACCATGTGGTTTATTTCAGTTTAGTCTAGAAACAATTTTTTCTTTCAAAATGGTCTACTTGACAAACATTCTGTTAACTAAACTAACGGAATTCTTTCTAGCTGTTGATGTGTGCCCCCTAAACTTTTGAAAAATGTTAAATATAGTACATACATTTTTGTTTTTTTGTAACATTTTGTTTTTGAAGTTTAAATTCTATATATTCAATGTAATAATTAACTAAGATGAAATTTCAATTTACATTAATTAGGATTCTAATTTTAATTTACAATAATCAATATTATAATTTAAATTTTATTAGTTCTAAAAAAATTTAATTTAATTAAACCAGCACCCACACATAATTAAAATTCCTTGAAAAAATAAAAATTCACTTCAATTTTATAAATCCCCAAATTAAAATCATGCATGTATTATTAGTGTTAAAAATAAAAATAAAATTTTTTATTTTTCTATACAAATTAGTGAAAAAATATGTAATTTAATAATGGTATTAAGTTTTTTAAGAAATAATAAAATTTAAATTATAATTTTGATTATTGTAAATTAAAATTAGAATCTTGATCCATGTAAATTAAAATTATTACCTTAATTAATTATTACATTTGATATAGAATTTAAACTTCAAAAACAAAATGTTGTAAAAAATAAAAATATATGTACTATATTTAACATTTTTCAAAAGTTTAGAGGGCACATGTCAACAGCAAAAAAGAATTCCGTTAGTCTAGTTAACGGAATGTTTGTCAAGTAGACCATTTTGAAACAAAATCGATAGTTTATAGATCATTTTGAAAGAAAAAATTGTTTCTAGACTAAACTGAAATAAACCACATAGTTAATCGACTATTTATTAAATTTAACCTTATTTTTAGAAAGAAACTAAATGATTCCCACTGGAAATATTCTTCTTAACAGAAGAAGTTTTAATGTATCATGCAAGTGCGTCATTGGAGCCTACAACATTTGTTCTCTTCTTTGATCAATGAAGGAGTTAAGTTTTTTCATTCTAAGAAAAAAATTGAATCATTGACATGATCAAAGGCCAAAGGCTGAGTTCCTCCAAGCTTTTAGCTCTATTGTCAAAGACAACTCTGGTTGTCAGAAGATAGTTGTTGATGCTTTGAGTCGGAAACATTTTGTTTTTTTTTTCTTACACTTCAAGTAAAAGATGGTGGTTGTGAAGTGCACAAAGAAGATCTAAGCATGATGGCTGACAGTCAACTCAAGCAATTCTTGTTGAAAGCTTATCTTTTATTCTGATAATTGATTGCCCAATACTCAAAGTTCTTTATGGCAAGCTATTAGTTAGAAAGCTATAATGGTGGACATGCAGGACACCCATGACACTGGAAATCTATTGTTCAGACAAATTGTAGGGGTATTTTGGAATTGCAATTAATCCAGCTACAATTACACAGATCTTGATACACATTCAAGCTCAATTGTGTATGTGGTCAGAGGCATCTACCATTCAAGTCATTCATGGATTCAAAGCTTATAGTCTAAAGTTTTAAATGTCCAAAGCCATTCATACAGTGGAGTTTTATGGTCTAGAAAAGGTTATGATTGTCTGACCATGCACTGCCAAATGCAGATTCTAAGTTTCAATGTGTTTGTTTGTGTTCCTATTTCCATGTATCTATGATGTCTATATCTTGTTTTTCATTTAATTTCCATTGATGTCTCTAGAAAACAAACTTTTAACCTATATCTATACTAGCAAGGTTGTACCATGGCAACTATTTATATTTATTTATATTTCTTGATCATGTAGATGAGAGTTTGAGAATGATGTAAACTGAAAGAAAAGCGTTATGCTTTTGAGAAGGAACTTCTCTCTCTCTCTCTCTTCTTATTTTGTCTTTTTAACTCTATATCTCTTTGTTAGATCCAATATAATGGTTAGTTTCTGTTCTGTAACTCCACGGTGGTAATTGTTTACCCTTAATGTTGGTAGACTTTAAGCCAGTTTTTTCTTTGCTTCCTCTCTACCTAAGAGTACTATAAAATCTTAGGTTTCTCTACCTTAGTTGACAAATGCCAGTTTGTTCTTTGTTACCTCTCTACCTAAGAGTGCTATAAAATATTAGGTCTCTCTACCTTAATGACAAATAAGAAAAAAGGCAGTAACGCCTGATACAGTTCTATTAAGGAAAAAATAGATAATAGGCAGATTATAAACTAAATGCAAAACCATCAGAAAATCAAAATGCATTTCAAAAGAAGTATTCAAAAAAGTAGATAGAATACACAATATGGAGACATGGTGAGAGAAACTAGCTGTAAAGCAAACTCACTGGCATTTGATGAACTGGTTCTCTGTTCAAAGTCTCATGTTTTTCTCCTTTGCCTGGTGGAGATGACTCTGCAGCTGGGCTAACTGAAGTAACCACAGCCACAGAAGCTGCGGCTGCAGACTCACCAGGTTGCCGCACATGCCTCAATCGCTTCACTGCTCGGTGCAACCTCTCCAACCGAAAGGTCTCCCCATCAAAAAATAACACAGCATCATTGTCCCTGTAGTCCTCACTGATACCCTCAAAAGTCACCTTGGGCTTTCCATGTTGGTTGTTTTGAAATTCCACAGTGACCCTGTTATCCTTTTTCTTGTGGAATATTCCTGGTTGGTTCTTATCAATTGAAGCTGGCTTAAATTCATCTGGAAATAAAATTTAAAATCTACAAGTTATTATCCAAGATATTGAAAATGCTGTCATACTCTGTTCACTCAATGAGAAGGAAATGGAAAGTTAACGCCTAAATTTACTATGAAAACTCAAGTACATAATTTCCCTAGTTTTCTTGAACTTTCTCTGAAACCAAACAGAACCCAGAAAACTACTAGGGTACTTACAACGTAAAGTACAGAACTTGGGAGAAGGGTGGAAGAAGTGGTGATCCTTGAACGAGGAGCCTAAGGTAATGTCATACCATCGATTAGGCTCTGGAGCTGTCGCTGGTTCGTCGTTATTGATGTTGTTTCTCATTCCTTTGAGCTCAGTTGGAACTGATTAACAATCCAGGGTGAAATTAAAAAACCCTAGGAAGAATTCTACAAAGAAGAATTGCAGTCGAGAGGGTATTATGGTCTTTTAAATGCTGAAGTTCTTAGTTAACGTGCGCGGGCTACACCTCATTTCTACTATCCTCCTGAATTCTTCCTCTTCAAAATAAGAGCCGGAAACTTGCTGATGACGCTGGGACCCCAGAGGGAGTCGCTTTCAAGCAGCTGAGAGGGGAAAGTGAAAACTTCGTTGACAAGGTGTCTTGGGTTGCTTTTGCAATTGCTATGAATTGCTCTTGCCGTGGTTGTGTTGGATTTTACTGTACGTTAGTTGTATTTAAAAATTATTTTAGTGATTGGTTATTTATTTTTTTATGGTATTATAGATAAAATATAATAGATTTTATTAATTATAAATTAAAATTTTAAAAATATTGTAAAATATATAATTATT